GCAGAGAAGTGATCTTTGTAGTTTATGTATATATAAACTCTCTCTCATTCCATGGCAATCACTTTTACACCAGCAATTTATGGTATTACACGCATAATTAATTAGAATCTGGACCGCGAGGAATCTATAATTCTATATACGCATATCCGCATGTGGAATTAGCTAGGGAAGCGCAGATCGATGAAGCTGTTCTACCCTAAAAACACATGGATGAAGCTGTAAGTGATTAACTAAAAGCAGCAGATAGGTCACTGCCAGATCGGAACATATGATTAGTTAATTATGAACAACAGGTAGTAGAGGGTCATACAAATATTTGCAGCATGTACTCTTTTTTTTCTTCTTATGATTACATAAAAAGGGTAAAGTAGCGCTAGAGTCGCGGAAAGAGTTCCTTGCTTCCAGATGCATAGTAACGTGAACATGCATGATACTAAGGCTATCTCCTACCGCTCAGACCCAAATCAGAGACATATTCCATGATTCAGGTCACGCACAGTAAAAGAGTCACGCACTCAAAACATGTCTTCTCCAACAGCCTATGCAAAAGTCCTCGCCAAGCACCGCCCGCTCCTCGGAACGCACACTACCGGAGACTGGCTCTTTGCCGAGTGCCAGGTGGTTTGCCGAGTGTTGTTTTTCGGGCACTCGGCAAAGAGGCTCTTTGCCGAGTGTTAAAACATTCGGCAAAGAGCTTCTTTGCCGAGTGTTTTTTTTGACACTCGGCAAAGATGCTCTTTGCCGAGTGTTTTTTTTACACTCGGCAAAGAAAATTTCAAAGCACATTTTGAAGCAGTAAATTAATTCAAATGAAAAAGTTTTCAACTATAAGGTTGTATAACTCATCAAGATGTACAATGTTTATTTTGGTCTTTTCTTCATACGACAAAGTAAAAATAAATTTGTTCACAAATCTAACATATCTCTCTTGTAGTTTATGAAACTACAAGAGAGATATATAAGATTTGTGAATAATGTTAGAACGACCATGTCGGATGAACAGATGACCAAACAACTAAAATAAACTTTGTAGATCTCGAAAAGTTATGAAACTTTGTAATTGGTAACTTTTTGATTTGAAAACATCTTGTCATGCAAAACTGTGTTTGAATTTCAAAAATTTAAAATTCGAACTTTTCAAACGACCTCGGATGAAAAAACAACCAAAATAAACTCTGTAGATCTCGAAAAGTTATGAAACATTGTAGTTGACAACTTTTTGATTTGAAAATATCTTGTCATGCAAAACTGTGTTTGAATTTCAAAATTTTAAAATTCAAATTTTGTAAACGACCTCGGATGGAAAAACTTCCTAAACTAAAAGTGTAGATCTCGAAAAGTTATGAAACTTTGTAGTTAACAACTTTTTGATTTGAAAACATCTTGTCATGCAAAACTGTTTGAATTTTAAAATTTTAAAATTCAAATTTTGTAAACGACCTCGGATGGAAAAACTTCCTAAACTAAAAGTGTAGATCTCGAAAAGTTATGAAACTTTGTAGTTTACAACTTTTTTATTTGAATTCGTTTAGGGCCTTAAACATGCAATTTACACTCGGTTTAGTATAATATATTGGGAACTAAAACGGAATCCAGACACAAGTGAAAGTGTGGTGTAGTGGTAGAGGAGGTACGTGCACAGCGGGATGTCTCGGGTTCGAATCACGTCGGCCGCATAGCCATGAAATTCACGTGAAAAATGTTGTAGATGGGTGGGCGCTGGCCGGTGGGGGCCTCCATCGATAAAAAAAATTTCATTTTTTTTGGGTAAAAATTCCCATTTTTTGGTTTTTTCGGTTTCAACTTTGCCGAGTGTCGGGCACTCGGCAAAGGCTTTGCCGAGTGCCCGATAAAAGACACTCGGCAAAGTTGGCTTTGCCGTCACTGTTTTTGGCGAGTGCTGTTCGCCGAGTGTTACACTCGGCGAACCATTTGCCGAGTGTTTTATGTCTTTTGCCGAGTGTTTCGGGCACTCGGCAAACTCAAGGAGTCCGGTAGTGGCAGAACGCCGGCCAGCCAAGCACCGCCCGCTCCTCGCCGCGGTCCCGCCTCGCCGTGCCGGCGGCTCCTCGGCGCGGTCGCGCCGGCCGCGCTCCGCCACGGACCCGCCTCGCTACGCCGGCTGCTCCTCGCCACGGCGCAGGCCGCGCCAACCGCGGACCCGCCTCGCCCCGCCGTGGACCCGTCTGGAAGCGCCGGCGGCTCCCCGCCGCGGCTCGCCTCGCCGAGCCGGTCGCGCCTCACCACGGACCCACCACTATGGGCACCAGAGATTTGCGTCATCTCTCTCGAAGACGCTTATTTGCGTTTCGTCTCGGGTGGTATGCAAAATGGGTCCTCTGTTTGGGTCTTCTGTTGGACCGTGTTTTTCGGTACGCAAAACACTGTGTATGATGTATTTTGCGTTTGGGTTGCGCTATTGGAGACAGTCTAAAGGAGTATATACATTGAACCTGCTGGCACCATAATATATACATACCCTTTTTTATGACAACATATATATTAGTATTGTAAATTATCTCTTTGTTGCTCTATCAGGTGTGTAGTTGCTAGGTAGCTGCAAACACTGCTAGTTGGGTGTCTTAGGTCAGTGCAAATCTATAGCTAGCTAGGTTTTTGTAACTTGACATTTTTTTAACATGAGAATACCTATAACTAGGTACTATTCTTGGAAGTATATTGAATCACTCTTTATTTGAAATTTTGATGATATGGTGTATTCAAAATGAGCTCATAGAAAGAAAGAGAAATAGACCATGAATGATTACTTTTGACTTTTTTCTTATCAAATTTATGGAATGTGTAGTTTTTCTATTCTCTTTTGTATATGGTGACAAAATTAAATCTGAAGCTGTAATTTTATATATGGATGAGGAGAGGGAGCTCATGCAGACCCAGTTGTTTACCTCACTTGGATTTCACCTTTGCCTGTGCGTGAGATCCATTACCCCTGCCTCCTTGGCTTGCTCATGAGAGCTCTTGCATCCTACTTGACGCATGCATGAGTTCCAACACCTCCTCCTCACGAGATTTGCCACTACCTCGTCCTCATGAGTTTTGACGCCGCTGTGCCACCTCCTCCTCACGAGATCCACTACCGCCACCTCCTCATGAGATCTGACACTTCGGCCTTCTCATAAGATTTGTCACCTCCTTGTCCTTGGCTCATGCGTGAGTTTCACCGCCGACAACTCCTTAGCACGTGCCGCTATGGAGTTGGGAGTCTGTCCGATAGGAATTCATCTCTAGCTCCTTATAGGAGTAATTGGAAGAGGTGGTGCCAACCTCGAGCTAGGGAGACAGGCCCTGGCTTTGGAACTAGGGAGAGGGAGGCGCCAGTTAACGAGCCAGAAGACGGGGCTTGGTGATCTGGAGTGTAGCAAGGAAGGGAGTGCGGTTGCTATATATATATATAGAACTACTACCCTGTAGCTGGCTACAAAATAACTTATTCTGTAGCCACTTTGAGTTACGATAATTACTATGTTAATTTATGAGATTACAGTAACTCCTTACTAAGTGGTTTATTATAACGTTATGGTAAATATCTTCATGTATTATAGTAACCCTACTATCGTAAATTAGTATATAAAATTATCATAAATGGAGGTGGCTATAAAATAACTTATTTTGTAGCTGGCTACTGAATATATATATATATATATATATATATATATATATATATATATATATATATATATATATAGATATATAGATAGATAGAGAGAGAGAGAGAGAGAGAGAGAGAGAGAGAGAGTTGTGTGGTAGGGAGGGGAGTGTGCGAGACTTGTGTGGCAGGTGCTAGAGTTAGGGTTACATATGGGTTGGGCTAAATTTTCACATATAGGGGTTAGATATGGACCACCTCTGTAAATAAAATGTCATTCTCCAAAACGGATCTGCATTTTCAGTGATGACCATACAAATGTGCCACCTCTATTAACGAAAGTAGGAGTCTCCAAAAGTCGATTTTGTAGTAGTATTATCAATTAAAGCTTAAGAAGAGACGGGCAATAACATCGCTGTGGCCTATCGGTCAGGTTTCTAGGAAGAACACGGTGAACCATGCATGACTAGAACAAGCAAAATTAGGATGGTTAAGACGATTACAAAACAATAGAACTTGATAACAATTTCTCACGGATGTACAAAATATATTAATAGTAGTACTAATTTTTCTCTCACTCCCTGCCTCACCCATATGTAGTTCAAAATAACATTAGATTCAAGTAAAACTCCACATTTGTATTGCCTATTGTGATTTTATACTAAACACATAACATTATTAGGTGATAGAGAGGTAAGAATTGATTTGTCATAGATTATTGAAGGGCCGGGTACTGCTTCCCTAAACATGCACACTTGGAAATAATTAGTAGTCATGCGCAATTCTCTAACAGTTTGCAAAATTGCAGCAGAGAATTGCATAAACATGTATATCAAACGCAGCAGAGAAAAAAGAAAAATGTATCCGTTATGGCAACCATAGCTGAAACAGCAACACTAATGAAAACATCTAAGCCAAATTGCATAAATTGCGGGAACGACCTTAGACATGGCAATGCATGGGTGGACAAACATTCGATTGATCGTTTCATCTTCATGGAATATAGCACAAATCACCTACAAGATTACCACGTCTCAATTTGCTGCTAGCTAGGCGTGTGCGCTACAAGATTATCTAAGCCTAGCTTGGAAGCCTTTATTTTGGCCCAAGTTAGAGATTGAAACAGAACAAATCAATTTATTAGCACGATAGGGTTGAATTGAACCTAGCAACAAAATTCTAGCAAAAGAGCATGCTCATGAGTAGTGATAAATGTGTGTACCACTATACAAAGCATGAGTGCATGACACGTGTGCGCGTGCGCGCTCGCGTGTTTGTCCTTGTAATCGCGCATAAGTGCATAACCGCAGAACAGAACATCTACTTGAGCACACGATAATTCATGCATGTGTCAATGATGGATGACACAGATGATTCGCTCGGTGAATTTTGCTCATTGATCTGACAGGGCGAGCAGCTGCTCCAAGTAATCCGCCCCAAGGTCCTCCAGCTCCAGCACGCAAGAATCTGCCTGCTTTTGCATGACATGCCCATGTCCATGGCTGCTCGTCACCACCTTCGTCTGTTCCTTGCCAGCCGCCTTCTTGTTCTTGGGCAAGCGCTTACGGATGCAGTGGCGCCGCTTCAGCGCCAGCACCGGCGAGTCCCCCGCGGCGCTGCTGAGCCCCAGCGCTTGCAGCGACTCCTGCACGTGCTCGACGGGGAAGTTGAGCACCGCGGCGGGGCCGCGCATGGAGTAGGCGGCCTGGTCGTAGGCGAGCGCGGCGGCCTCGGGGGTGTCGAAGGTGCCGATCCACACGCGCTCGCCATTGCGCGTGGAGTCCCTGATCTCGGCGGCGAACTTGCCCCACGGCCGCTTCCGCACCCCGATAAGCGGCGCGTCGCCTCCGGACGCCGCCTCCTCCTGCAGGTAGTCGCAGGGGCTCGCCCCGTGGACGGCGCTGGGTTGCACCGTCGTCATCGTCGGCGGCGAGGAATACGCGACTGGTGTGTTCCTCGTCGAAGTACTGGAGGAGCTGCTGGTGGTGGAGATGCAGGTGGCTCCCATGAGAGCGCTGAACTGGTCCATGTCCACCGCGCCCATGCCATCCTGCTGGTAGCTGTAGTATTCATCAACGCCGCCGCCAAAATGCATCATCTGCTGCTGTTGGTGGTGGTGATGGGAGGGTGTGGCGGCGCCCGACGACGACGCCCCCCACACCGTCGACGAGGAAGAAGGGTAGTGGTCACCACTGTAAGCGATAGCAGCATCGTCGTAGTACGCGGCCGAGGAGGGCTGGAAGAAGCCGGAAGACGCCATAGTGCCGGAGTAGCAGTAGGGGCTGTCGTCGTAGCCTTGTAGGCCGTAGTGGTGGCTATCACAATGCGCGTAGGTGGCGGAGACGGCGGTGCCGGCATCATGGCCATAGTAGTAGCTGCTGCTGAATTGGGGTTCCATGGATGGATGGACTTGATCACACCACGATTTGTTCAAACTAGTGGCAATCGATGCGTAGTAGAGCTATATCTAGCTGGCTAGAGTAGTATGTTGGTATGGTCCAAGTTAACGAACGAGCTGCCTGAGAGTAGCTAGATAGGCTTAGCTTGTTTACAATTAAGCTCGCTGTCTAGGTGCTTATATATACAGTTCTCGTACTAATGACATGCTTTAACAAGTAGCTAGATCGATAGGACAAGTAACTAATGACAGCCCTAATTTGATGGAATAGTTTAGTTTTGACTTTGTTCGGTAGTCGAGGCCATCGACAAGATGCTACCTTGGCAGGGGGACAACCGCGGCTATAATACTCTCCACTTGTTGCTCTAATATTTCTTCCTAGTGTAGTACATGAGATATTTTCAGAAGAGGATTATTGCTCGTTAGTACTCTACTAATTAACACATGTGTGGAGAGAGATATTGGATGGCTGCGTACGGAGCGAGCGAAGAAGCACCGCAGAATTGTCATGGATGGTTCCATTGCATGCATGGCTAGTGTACATAGGAACAAGGGGCCCTGCACTGCAGGCAGCATGATGTAGCTAGGGTAGGCTGCATCCTGCATATGTCAACAGATGCATATGCAGTTCATGGTATCAGATTATTCATCATCTCATCAACACAGCGGAATAGTCAACACTTTCTCCTCAGTTCGTATCAAGCAGGAGTAACATTTGATAAGACTTACCGAATCCGTCTATCACTTAATTATATTGTTTGAACATTTTCTAGTTTTACCAGTCTAAATTTACAGTCCTCATCGAAGACACAAAATATAGTTTGCAGTTCCAACCATTCACACTCATATATCATCGTCTTGCCACGCCGTGCCTTCTGTGGAACTCACCTAGCTGTACCAAACTTAGTATGTTTCTATCATATAGTAGCTAGGCCTAACTGCAATAAACTTGTGTCGTCCCAGGAGGACCGGTGAGTAAATTCAATCAAAAGATTTGCTGGTTCCAGATGATTAAATATAGTACAATCAAATTTGTGCTGTATTTATTAAATAGCAAGTATATACTCAAGTCACGTCTAGAGAAATTAAGATTGTGCATCACTAATGTCCTCTAGCTAAGAATGTTATTACTCATGCATCTATTGCTGCTCCATGGTGCATCTCCAAACAAGTGACCTGCTTTATGTACTCAACAAACCCCCAACAACTCCCACAACCGTCATGCCAAAGAATTTTTAATAGGCAAGGACTTCAATTCCATTGGCGCCCCTTGAAACCAGAGCAAAAGAATTAGCAACCCCACAGATCTCCACAACACAACTAGGGTGATGAACTTTGAACTCATATAGTATAATTCAACAATGGATAACTTAATTTGCTCCCATACAAATTTAACATTTTCTTTCCACTGCAATCATACAACTTAAACTTTTAATACTACATATACTTATGTTTGGTACAATCTATATCTTATCTTCAATAAAGGGAATTGTAAACTATCACAAACTAAGGCCATGTTTGTTTTAGTAGTATTCTACTTCATCTGTCCTAAATTATAAGACGTTTTGACATTTCTAGATTCATAACTTTTACTATGTATCTAGACATAATATATATCTAGATGCATAGTAAAAATTATGAATCTAGAAAAGATAAAACGTCTTATAGTTTGAAACGGAGGGAGTATAAAACTTTGCTTTTATAGGACGATGGGCTGGTGCCGAAAATGAGGGTCCAAATAAAGCTGAAACAAACATGGTCCACCTAGATTCCAGGTGTGTTATGTTACATTATTGGGTTGTTGTTTGTGGGTTTCCTTTAAGGCAACCTGGATAAAAAGCTAGTATAGAGTTTTGGATTGTTGGGTTGTGGAATCAATGGGAGGGGTTTGGTGGATTTGTTAAAAGATATATATATATATATATATATATATATATATATATATCCATCTGAAACAAACAGAGCCTAATAATAAAAAACATATCACCTCGGTATATCACCCACACTTTGAACTCAAACCTTTAAACTCTGCACGCAGCAGCCGACATAATCTGATATTCTGAAACTTTTTCTCAGATATATGCAGTTGCCTCAGCAGTCAGCAGAGAGGAGAACCTTTTAGAAGTTTGCTGGAAATGTAGCCAGATAGTAGTAGTGGTAGGCTGCTGCTCCTGATGCAGTCCAGCTCGCATATATCTGTAACAGATAGATTTTGCACGCACATTTAGTTGCCATATATATACGTATGGTTCTGGGAAGCAACCGGTAGCACGTGAAGGATCGAGTATATACGAAGCTGCGGACGGCTGCTATAGAGCTATTAATAAATAAATATACGCAAGTCAATATACATATATACATATACTATTGTTGCTACATTTATAGTAGTAGTATGTGTACAGATCGAGATGATGCTTAAATTGGTAGTACCGGCGATACTAAAAATGATGCAGATTATGTATATCGTCGACATACATATAGATGTCTCTTAACAAGTTATGCATATGTTATAAGTAGAGTACTACCTTCCCTAGACAAATGTTCAGACACAAAAACATCTACTAGAAAACATCATATAATATATGCATATATATAAATATAACCATGCAATGATGAATGCAGTCATACAGAAGTAATAAGGGGAAAGTTACTTGAGGCAACACTATTAAGATGGAATGTCCAGGCTTAAGGCCTCAGGCCCACATGTCATCCTCATCATGTCATGGATGTAAGTTTTCTTTAGCACCATATAGTCGTTTGATAGTAGGATATATTATATATGAAAAAGTAAAATAAATGATTGATGTATGTAACCCTCTCTTAATCGTATGAAAATAATGCGATTAGTATATTTGGACAACTTCTCAATGCGCTTGATATTTCAAGACAGAGAGTACTCCGCCAACTTTTTTTTTTTCCGAGGATTAATTTATACTAACAATAACACAAACAATATATTTATATTTGTATGCCAAATTAGAGGAGATTTCACATCAGGGTTTCCTCTGTAAAATAACAACAAAATCCTACTGCCAGCTTATCATATATATATAGCTTATTCGCTTGTTCATTGAACTGATGTACCACACAGGCGGCACGAACATGAACTAGTACAGTGTACCTGCTGTTATATATTCATTGGAGGTGTCTTTATATATAGTACATATACTACCCTTTCTGGTGCCTTTTCACTTACTACATTGTACTTATATAGGAGTATACTATCTGTGCTCAAGGACGAGTTCATTGTATCTGCCCATCTGTTATGCTAGCTGCTAGCTAGGCAGTTGTTACGCATGCAGCTCCATCTATTGGCGGCATGTAGATGCATTTCTTCTTCTTCAAACTCACTCGATCAAATCTCATTGGACTGGTAGTGCATGTGCATATATCGATATGATTCTCTCTCCAGATGATCGATCGCCGCCGAAGCGGTTAGATATACGTGTGCCTAGATTGCAGTGCTGCTGGCTTCCTAATTGGTTCCAGGAATGCACATATGAAGCTGCTTTCAACGGCCTCTCTATATTTCAACTGTACGTAATCTGCCGTAAATTTAATTTTAATCTGCATCTCGCGTGTGCTTGCATGTGAACAACCTAGCTAGCTTGCAAAAGATTCCCTCAGGTGATCATGCCGACTGCTCGTAGTATATTCCATTATAAACTCATAGAGCTTGTTTCTTTAGTTAATTAGGTGATGACTGATTACCTTTTGGATCTGGATCGGTTAATAACTGTTTTATTTCAACAGCTTACAACTATGCTGGACCATTGAGATGGATGCTCATCACATCAATGATTCTCAAATAACTGAGGTTTTGGATACAGGTACAAATATCTCTGGCATGCGATTTCCCAATCACTATCTTTCATATTTCAATGTTGTACTAGTATTTGCCCAAAAATGTGAAAAAATATATAGTAAAAAAAGGTATTTCTCACAACAACATTTATTATATTTATGTCATTGTGACTAATAGTGCAAACTGTTTTATCATGCCAATGGGTCTATATACAAAGGTTTGATTATTCCACGCTCTGTGAGATATCATATATTTGCTTACAGATGTAGTATGTAATTCACCCTTGATCTAGAGCCAGCAAACCTCTCCTAGCTAGTAAGTTATATTGAGGAAGTGTTTGATCTAGACTACTAATTTTTAGTTGCTAGTTGGGAAAACCTGGCTAATAGCTATTACCTGGGCTGGGCCATTAGTTAGGCTTTGTTTGGGTCCTCCTGCTAATAGTTAGCTATATTTAGGGCCTGTTTGGGACTGCTCTGCTCCACCTTTTGTAACTCTGCTCCTAAACTTTTCTGCCAAACAGGTCCAACTCCACAAACTCTGCTCCCAAAAAAAGATGGAGTTTTGATCCAACTCTATGTTTTTCGCGGAGCTCCTCAGAGGGTACTCCACAAACCAGCGTTTCATATGTCCTCATAGAGTTGGAAGTAATTACCCGCAATTGCCACTCGTTACACAAATACCGTTTCGTTCTATTTCCTCCCGTCACCCCCACCCGACGTTTCATTTCGTACGTCCTCGTCTCTTCTTCCCTGTGAGCCGTGACTCCGCCAGAGGAGATCCCACGGATGCCGCCAGCCGCTGCCGAAGAGGGCGCCGCTGATGGAGGAGATCCCGTGGACACCGAGACTCTGCCAGGCCACCGCGACTCCACCGGAAGAGGAGATCCCGCGGCCACCGCGGTTGCCGCCGCCCGCCGCCGGAGGAGGAGCTCCCGCGGCCACCGCGACTCCGCCGGAGGAGGAAATCTGCTCGCCCCTCCCCCTTCCATCGTGAAGCCGCGACTGCATCCTCTGTCTGGCCACTGCGCACCGGATTACCTCGGTGCGTTGCTCTCCAACGGCGCGCTCCTCCGCAGCCGACTACTACTGCGGGGCTCAGGCAGCGAGGCTGCCATGGACGAGGAGCGGGAACTCGTTGAGCAATGCAGGCGCTTGGAGGTGCAGGTGAGGAGCAGTGGGGTGGACCAGTTTCT